CAAAGTGCGTGAGGAACCGGTTGAGTTCCTCCTCCGACCCGAACTCCAAGAAGGATCCGTCCAGGTACGGAAACGGCTGGGGCGCAGAGGTCGTAGCTTCGGCGTTGCCCTTCTTCTTGGAAGCCTTTGTCTTCTTTCCTCCGGCCATGATTGAAGCAAAATGATGAAGAATTATGTAATAGAGGAGATTTTGAAGTGAAAAAGGTGTGTTAAAATGAGTAGAGATGAAGGATATATATAGGGAAAGGTGAGAAAACCGTTTGAATTTGAAAAAAGTGACTGTTGGGCCATAAATTTGGTGACCAACGGTTAAAAAGTTTGAATTTGCAGCAGGCTTCCCAGCGATGGGTGGAACTTCCCATCGATGGGAAGGTCGACACTGGAAAGCGAAGGGGAAAAACAAGGCTGCCATCCCATCGATGGTCAAACACACCCATCGATGGGAGGGTGGCTACTGGAAATTCGTCAAAACGTTTTAAAAACAGTGTCAAACACCCAGCGATGGGAGAAATTTCCCATCGATGGGTAGGGAGGTTCTGGAAAAATTTAACAAAAGTCCTTCACCCAGCGATGGGATGAAATACCCATCGATGGGTAAGGTGGTTCTGGAAATCCATTAAAAATTTTAAAAAAATAGAGTCAAACACCCAGCGATGGGAGAAGGTTCCCATCAATGGGAAGAGGGGTCCTGGAAAGATGAGGACTTCCCTCCCAGCGATGGTATAACGCACCCATCGCTGGTTCCCCCTGATTTCCAGAAATCTTCACCTCGAACCGTCCCTGCAAAAAAGAGTTAGAAAACCCTCCGACACTCAAGTTAGTAAACGTTCAAGCATAGAAAAAGGAGTGATAAAATGCACAAATTAGATCATCGTGGAGTCAAGGATTCCGAGTTCACTACGAATGCGGAAGAACGACTCTTTCTCTAAGGGTTTTGTGAAAATGTCGGCTAATTGGTTGTGTGTTTCAACAAACTCAATTTCGACATCACCTTTGAGAACATGATCTCTAATGAAATGGTGCCTAATGTCAATGTGTTTCGTCCTTGAATGAAGAACGGGGTTCTTCGTCAAGCTAATGGCGCTAGTATTGTCACAACGAAGAGGAACGTGATTGATACTAAGGCCATAGTCCACGAGTTGTTGCTTCATCCAAAGGATTTGAGCACAACAACTACCGGCGGCTACATATTCCGCTTCGGTCGTGGATAACGCAACACTGACTTGTTTCTTGCTAAACCATGAAACTAAAGAGCTACCAAGTAAGTGGCAAGTCCCACTCGTACTTTTACGGTCCAATTTGCAACCGGCAAAGTCCGAGTCGGAGTAACCAACCAGATGACACGAAGAGCCTTTAGGATACCATAGTCCAACGTTAACCGTGCCTACAAGGTATTTCATGATCCGTTTCACCGCCGTTAAGTGTGATTCCTTCGGGCATGATTGATACCTTGCGCAAAGGCATACGCTAAACATGATATCCGGCCTACTAGCAGTAAGATAAAGAAGGGATCCGATCATACCTCGATACTTTTTGACTTCAACTTCCTTACCTTTTTCGTCTTTGTCTAGGTGGTCGGACGTGCTCATCGGGGTTGCCATTGCTTTGGCGTTTTCCATTTTGAATCGTTTTAGGAGCTCCTTGCAGTATTTGGTTTGGCAAATAAACGTGCCATCTTTCATTTGCTTGACTTGGAGTCCCAAAAAGAATGTAAGCTCACCCATCATGGACATCTCAAATTCACTTGTCATTAACGTTGAGAATTCCTTGCACAAAGACTCGTTAGTAGCACCGAATATAATATCGTCTACATAAACTTGAGCCAAAAGGATGTTATTGTTTTTACTCTTGATAAAAAGTGTAGTGTCAACCTTTCCCCTTTGGAAACCACTATCCAAAAGAAATTTACTCAAACGTTCGTACCAAGCACGTGGTGCTTGTTTAAGACCGTAGAGCGCTTTCTTGAGTTTGAAGACGTGATCGGGAAACTCAAAGTCCTCAAACCCCGGGGGCTGGTCAACATACACTTCCTCTTGAATAAAACCATTGAGGAAGGCACTCTTAACATCCATTTGATA